AAAACAGATGAATGTTGTCGATTACAGAGGAGAATACAAATTTTGTTTTGGGTTACTCTAGTTCCTGACTCGTGTTGTTGTCGTCAATCACAGGGAAGGGCGAAAAAAAATGAGATTGAATGTATTTGATGATTGCCGATCACAATTATTGAGGATCCTTTGTCGACGTCGAGCAAGAGAAAAGAGAGAGTAAGCGAGAGTTTTCGATCACCACAGCCTTCAGTTCTGGTTCCTTGCCCTATATCGGTTCCTTAGATACTAAACCGGTTCCTTGGCCTACTAAACCGGTTCCGGTCTATTATACTCGGTTCCGGTTTTTTAAACATATCCGGTTCAAAAACCCGGATTACCCGGACCCGTTGGAACCATACCCGAAATACCCGAAACCCGGATAAGAGTAATTTTGAAACCCAATACCCGGACCGTTTAAGAAATTTCTGGTTATACCGGTTCCGGTTTCGGTCCGATTCCGCTTCCGGTTCGTTTTTCCGATTCTAAATCTCATCCCTACCATGGTGTAACATCCCAAATTTCAGAAACATGATATAAGGGCTTAAAGTGTAAATTGAGGAAGCTACTCGACGAGTATGTGTGATTACTCGTCGAGTCGGAGCGGGTTTTGGTCGCGAGTTAAGTGACCAACTCGCCGAGTCGGCGGCTGGACTCGACGAGTTGGTGCTGGGAAGAGAAAACCCTAATCTTAAGGGTTGCACCCTATTTAAAGGACCATATGTCCTCCCTTCAGCCTCCTTATTGCCCTTGAGAGTCAGTAAACCCTAAAATTGTGTGAGCTTCCATTGTTAAAGATATTTGAGCTTTGGAGGAGGAATATTGAGAAGGGAGCCTGAAGATCAAGAGGCTAGCATCAAGGGATTGGTGTAGATCCAGAATCTACTTCATCTTGGGCACGTTTTGGAGGTAACAAGTTGTTACCTTGACTCTATTGCATTTATATCTATTTAAGAATGAGATTTGGGGCCATTTTGGCATGTTAAGGATCTATTTCGGGTTAGGGGTCTAGATCTGAGGTTGCTACTTCAGATCTAGACTTGTCTTGGTCCAGAAACTCACAAAGTATCATCCCTTGGTTTGTTGGTGAAGCATCCTTGTCCTAAACCTTAGCCCTAGATTGATTTGGTCCTATAGCTCTTTGTGTCCACGTAAAGTTTGCAACTTTATGTGAGAGTCATGCCCTAGAAGAGTGGATCTACAGTTTGGAGCCCCTGCACGACTTGAAAAGCCTCTGTTTGAATAAAGGACTGAAGAGACTCGACGAGTCACTTGGGTGGACTCGGAGAGTCATATAAAGATAGGCATTAACTCGACGAGTTGGAGGAACAACTCAATGAGTCTGTTGAAGATTGTCGTGGACTCGGCGAGTCAGAACGCAAAACCCCAACCTCTTCTGGTTAAGACTCAGATCAGTGAGTTGAGTGGTGACTCAGTGAGTTGGACATGATAGGGCTCAGAGATTGTTGAACTCGACGAGTCATGGGGTGACTTGGGCAAGTCGAGTCATGATATGAGAGTTTTTCTGAGTTTAGGAACTCGCCGAGTCAGTGGGTTGACTCGGCGAGTAGGGTCAATCAGGAAGGTTGACTTTGGCCAGGACTTTGACTTTGACCCGTTTGACCTTCAAGGGTATTATGGTAATTTGGATATTTATGTCAATGGACCATTGATGGCTATAGGTGTTGGAGTCTGGGGCAATGCTTCGGGTTTGTGATTTCGTGGTTCGGTTCGGCAGTTGCAAGGTGAGTTATCCTCACCATACCCAAGGGTCTAAGGCACCAAGGCCGACCCTTTGATTGGTTATTTGAGATAGTTACTGTTGTGATATGTTAGTTGGCATTCTGGTAGAAAGGATGATTATGTGTTAGTATTGTTGGTTGCATCGGTATCCTGGTAGATTGGATGTGGCTATGCTTAGTGGCCTGTAGTTGGTTTGTCTGTCTGTATGCTGGTAGGAGATTACCTGTTATATGTGCACATGTTGAGCAGTAGTAGAGGGTATTCCATCCCGGTAGGATGATAGGGCCCTAGTATGTCGTTTCTGTAGACTGTTATGTGATTATTTGATAGGTGCACATGTTTGCTAGTATGTGGGCATTCCAACCCGATGGTTGTGGACCAGGAGTATTCCATCCCGGTAGGATGATTGGACTCATAGTAGGTGGGCATCCCAACCTGATGGTTCAGGGCCAGGAGTATTCCATCCCGGTAGGATGATTGGACTCATAGTAGGTGAGCATTCCAACATGATGATTGAGGGCCTGGGGTATTCCATCCCGAGGGATGATTGGATCCATAGTAGTTATTTTATGTATAGGTGTGGGCATTCCAACCCGATGGTTGTGGGCCGAGAGTATTCCATCCCGAGGATGATTGGACTCGTAATATGTTGGCATTCCAACCCGATGGTTGAGGGCCGGGGTATTCCAACCTGACGGTTGATTGGACCCATAGTATGTTGTTCATTGTTGTATGTGTATGGTTATGTGTGTACAGGTATTTTGGGGGAACTCACTAAGATTTCGAGCTTACGGTTTCAGTTTATTGTTTCAGGTACATTAGGTGATCGTGGCAAGTCAAAGGCGTGATCGTACCGCTCCTCATATTTCATGATTTTGTGATTTGGTTATGGGGATACTCTGATGTTTAAACTATTTTGAAAACAAGTTGTAATAACTTAATGGTTTTTGAATGGGTTAAAATGTTTTAAACTGGCTTGAATTTTATAGGTGTTACACATGGTTTACTACAAGAATGTTCTTAAGATATTATAGGTATACCATTAGGCCACTAAATGGTAGTGTTTATGTGGCCTCAAGTAGATTACACTAAGCCATTACCCTCTAAAAAGGAAGGCTACCATGAAGACTGACAATGAAAAGAAAAATGGATCAGGCAGAGAGGGAAAATAATAGAACAATACATACAGTCATAAAATCAGGTATGGTGTTGAGATGCACCATTTATAGGGAAAGAGGGCACAACAGATCCATATGCCCTCAAAGATCAAATGATGAAGCATCTACTCTAGGTTTAAAGAAAAAGAAACCTAAGAAACCTAAGAAGCAACAAGGTACGATTTTTAAATGGGATAATTTTATGATAAGTACATCTTTTATAGGAATCCTAATTGAACTCTTGCACTTTTGCATAACACGTACATTTAAGGCTGAAGTGGAACCTGCATTAGAACTTGAGGTTAAAGTGGAACCTGAAATTAAAGTGGAACTTGTAGTGGAATAGGAGATTGTATTGCAAGAGGAGATCAAAGGAGAACATGCAAATCAAGTTAGACAGGGGACAAGGAAAATTCCAGAAAGAATAAAAAAACTTAAGTTAAGCAAGATGTGGTAGGGGAAATAGGGAAGCAGCGATCAACACCCACTGTAGAATTGATTTTAATATTGTTACTTAATGTTTTTTAAGACAAACTCTTAGGTATTATAATAGCTTTTGGCATATTAGGACAAAGTTTGACACATTTATGACATCTTTTGTAATGCATGTGTTTGGAATGCATGTCTTAATGTTTAACAATTCAATATCATTTGTGATGTTTAACAGTTACATCTTTTGAGTTTGTTTGTATGTCATTTTTATGTCAATTACATTAGGGCAATTACATGTTTGATTGTTTGTATGCCATTTATAAAGTTTAATAATTACATTTTCCTTGAACATATGAATAAAACACATGTTTGGATGTCATTCCAATGTTTGCTTTCATTAACATAAGAATACATTACATCAATAAGTATCAACTTTTTCAAAATATCAAACTTTCATTACTTTAAGAACAACATGATTTTAGTCATAATACATCAGACGCGATACATGAAGAAATCAAACTTGGAAAACTACATTAAAAACAAACAAGAAAAATAACACAAATAATGCAACTTTGTGAATAAACAACTTCCATTTCACTTTGTCGAGTTCTTGTCTAACAACCAAATTGTCGTGTTCCACCTTCATCTTGCACATACTAATTTGTTTTCCAATGTAGAAAGTTTCAAGCTAACATTGAAGGCTTCCATTTCACCTGTTTGAGTTTGATTCAAATCAATATTTTTCTCAGTCCGTTCATTATCTTCCACCCATTCCCAGAATTTACATTTTGGAGTTTTTCCATTCTCCAAAAAAAGTGAAAAAATGTTAAAATGAGGAAGATTAGACCAAAAACTCAAAACAATTAGTTTACCGGTGAGTTATGACAAACTTTAAATTTTCTTCCACGCTTTCCTTTAGTCCTTGAAATCTTCACATGATATGGTAACTTACAATCACATGAAATGGTCAGCTTGAAACTCTTCATGTCGTTAGAAGAGAATGATGATGAAGAAGAAGACATTATCGATCTCCAAATTTAGGGCTCGATTAATAACCTAACCGTATATTGTCCTCTTATAATGTATAAATGTGTTTACTTTGCCACATAGATTCCACGTACGCACCAAGTAAGTTGTAATCTAAGATAGTCGGTCATAATGATAACATATGAACACGTTAAACAAGTTTGTTGGTAAATCGTGTACAAAAAATTGCCTAAATGTGAATAAACTGAAAAGATAATTACCCTCCTAAATCATTTCCCGAAATAAAACAAAAGCAAGAAATTCAAAAGATGGACTAAAGTTATCATTTTGTTATATGTCGGATGAACCATTATGTAATTTACTCTTAATATAAGAAATAATCGATAAAAAACATTATAGAAAAGCAAAAGGTAGAAAAGATTAATAATGAAAAAGTCATTATTGGGGTGCAAATATCGTTTTATAATGTTGTAACTTATAATGTAAAACGTTGTAAATATGTAAGTTATGAATAATTAAAGTCGCAACAAAATAGAACCAAGGATACTTTTTGTAATAAAATGAAAATTTATACTTAATTTCTAACTTTTACTATACTATAGGGATCATTATTGTAGTTTAATCAATATTTTTTGTATGTATATATATAAAGCACAACAAGCAAAACAACAGTAAGATTATAGTCCTAACTTTTACATTTCTCTGGGTTTTACCTCATCTTCATCCCACCAACTAAAATTCCATTGTTGATTCTGTTTTCAAGATTCAAATTCACTCTTAAAACCCAAATGATTCCCAGAAACAACCAACCAACATTAATTTGGAAGGACATTCCGGGTCTTGAACCCCTAAAACACGAAGAAAATGACCTCCTACGGCGTAGATGCGGTGGTAGTGGTGGCCCTGTTCGTTCATTTGGCATTGATTGTTTCGCTTCCGTTTCAATGACAGAGAAGAATAGAGTTGCAGCAACGATTGAATTCACACCCAAGGCAGCGCAGCTCATGAAACACCCGCTTGCTATTGTGGCTTTGGTGCCTAAAGAAGCTGCCGTGTTCGCCGCCGGTGCAGTCGCCGGTGCCGCCGCGAAGACCGTTACTGCACCCCTTGACCGGATTAAACTCATCATGCAGGTGAAGTATTGCACCTGATTTCGAAATTTGTTCGTTTAGTTTACAACTTGAACAATAAGCATCGATCAATTCCAGTTTCTGTTAGCTACCTTACCTACTACTCATTAATGTTTTCCGTGATCCGATTTGACATGTTTCGCGAACAATAAATAACCGGGTTTATTTATGTCTTTTTCTTCTTGAATTCTGAAAATAAAAAACCCAATTTTCAAAAAACAGATATGGGTATTCCATTAAAAGATGTTCATGTTATCTTGATTTCTTGTAAAATTCCATTAAAAGCTCCTATTTAAGCTTTACACCTCCATTTTCATGTCTTAATAAGTATTCTTTCTACAGACTCATGGGCTGAGAGCTGGGCAAGAAACTGCAAAGAAAACAATCGGATTCATAGAGGTATTTTATATCCATTTTTTCTAGAGCTAAATACAAGAAATATCAATGTAATTCCATTTATTTATTTATTATACAACATCCTACTCTCATTTATTTTGATTACAACATTGCACAATTGAAAATCTACTCTATTATAGCAATGAAAAATGCTTTACATTTGGATTACATTGCTATAATTAAGTAGATTTTTCAATTTTCAAAAGCTAGGATACGTTTCAATTTTCAAGAAACTTGTTAAACACAAATTTCTCACTTTTTTTTTTTATTATCAACTTATCTCACTTTTATTTAGTGTTATTTTTTAAATTTTGTTTGCAGGCAGTTGTTTCCATAGGAAACCAAGAAGGTGTAAAAGGCTACTGGAAGGGTAACCTTGCTCAGGTGCTTTACATTATTTGAGGAAATGAAAGGAAAAACATAAAGGAGGGCAAATTTGTAAAATTTAGGACTTAATGGGGAAAAAAACTCGTATATAACTTAAATGATTTAATTATGTCTTATCATTTTTCAGGTGCTACGTATCCTCCCCTATAGTGCAGTGCAACTATTTGCTTATGAGTATTACAAGGTATACAAAAACTTTTTCTTGGAAAAAGGTGATTTGACCATTTTGCCCTTGTAAAAATAAGGGCAAGATTTTTTTTTTTTTTTTATGATTATTACATTATAAATTGATGTTGAGTTTTGCAGAAACTTTATAGGGGGAAAGATGGTGAGCTTTCTGTTATTGGGAGATTAGCTGCAGGTGCTTCTGCTGGAATGACTTCCACTTTTGTAAGATTTCTCTCTCTTTTTTCAGATTTTTTTAATTTTTTAATTTTTTAATTTTATTTATTTATTGTTTTAAATTAAAATTCCTTAATATGTTTTTTTAGGTGACATATCCATTAGATGTCCTTCGATTACGAATGGCAGTTGATCCCGGGTATCAAACAATCACAAATGTAAGATTTATGTCTACTTATTAATGATTTATTTATTTATAAAAAAAACATATAACTTTTTTTTTTTAAATAAATAAATAAACCATAATTTTAATCAGGTTGTTGTAAGGATGCTAAAAGAGGAAGGAATCGGATCTTTCTACAGAGGACTTGTCCCTTCTCTCATTGGAATAGCCCCTTATGTTGCAGTCAACTTTTGCGTGTTTGACTTGTGAGCTTCCTATTATATATATTTACATTTAACCCCCTCAACTAATTGTTTTTACTGATTTAGCCACTTAACTATTTTCTTTACTGATTAAACAAACCATTAATCACTATAGAAAATCCATAAGAAAATGCTCTACCCCAGCATATTTGGATCCTAAACATGACTTGTTTGACCCAATAGCCAAGGGTATTTTGGTAATTAACAATGAATGTATATAAATAGGGTGAAAAAGTCTTTGCCAGAAAAGTTCAAAAACAAAACTGAAGCATCACTAGTGACAGCTTTTGTAGCAGCTACCATAGCCACTGTTACATGCTACCCTTTGGATACTATAAGAAGACAAATGCAAATGAGGGGTACTCCTTATAAGACAGTTTTGGAGGCTTTTCCAGGTAATTTCTTACTATAAATAGCAACCTACTTTTATTTATTTATTTACAATATACACCCTTCTACTTTCATTTCTTCTTATTACATCATTTTACTTTGAAAAACTTATCCAGTTCTAGAAATTTCAAGAACTGTGTTTTCCGGATTAAACCTCAACTTTATTTTTTGCCTGAAAAAGACCCTGTGCTTTTTCATTTTTTCCAAAAAAAACCGTCAGCCTTCTAAATGCTTCCAAATAAACCCTCAACATTTTTAGTTTTTCTCGAAAAAACCCTCACGTTTTACAATTTTTTTGGACAAAAATGACTAAAAGGGCCAGATTAGAAAAAAGAAAAAAATTCAAGGTCTTTTTCAGGAAAAAAATAAACTTGATGTTTAATCCGGAAAGAAGCATAAAATATAAGGTCTTTTATGAGATGTTGTAATAAACAAATAAATGAAAGTGCATTGATATTTCTGCATTAAGCCTTAAAAACATATGTTTGTTCAAATGTGAGGTATTAATTTTTTCTTTAAACACTTGTTTCTACTAAATTTTACAAATAAAAAAAAACATCATTAATTGTATAATTGGATTATTTTGTGTAGGTATTATTGCTCGTGATGGTGTTGCTGGATTATATAGAGGTTTTGTGCCAAATGCATTAAAAACGTTACCAAACAGCAGGTTTACTTTTAACTTTTTGTGCCCTTAAAATTTAAATCCGTGTCTTTTCCTTTTTTTTTCTTTAACTTTTGTCTGGATATTAGAAAAAAAAAAGATATGGAAGGAAAAAAAAACTAAGGGTAAATTTGTAAGAAGTTAGGAGTTGATAGGGAAAGCTTCATTTTCTTGACTTTCTATATTAGGTCATTAAGTAAAAAAGAAACAACTATATTAAGTAAAAAAGAAACAACTATATGTAGTTTATAGGATTAAGTAAAAAAAAGGAAATGACCAATTTGACCTCTCATTTTGTTTGGTTCTTGCAGCATTAGGCTCACAACTTTCGATGCTTTGAAACGGTTGATTGCAGCAAGTGAGAAAGAGTACCAAAGAATCTTGGAGGAAAATAGTAATGAACAAAAGCAAGGTTCATGTAGTTCCACAAGTTGAGTTATTTATTTAATTTGTTGTAAATCTTTTGGTCATTATAATATATATATATATATATATATGTTGTATGCGTCTTAATCTATAGACATTAATATGGAACCAAAAGCAACTTTGTCATGTGTAATGCCTCTTTCTTATTCATGTGATGTTGTAATATAGCTTGTTATAAGTAATCATTATAATATAGCTTTTCTTCATATACTTAAACGAATATATTCTAAATCTTGAGATGAAAATTCATAGATATTTTCTTTGTTTTATTCTAAACCACTAATAAAAAAGAGACAAATGGACATATTCATAAAAATATGAAATATTTATATATATTTAAATACAAGTATATTATATAAAGATAATGAAATAAAAAGGAACATTAGAAATCAATTTCTAATAAATAGAGTAATAACCGATCAGGTAACCTCAACCCACCATCGAAGGCCTTGCTGCTTTGTCTCCTTCCACAAAAATGGAGAGAAAGCTCGAATCAGTTATAAACCCTAAACCCCTCTAATCACAGCTCCCATTTCCTACTACAAAATGTCATTCGCTTTGCAGCTCTCCTTCCCAAATTTCGATTTTAACACTGCCACTAGGCCGCAGAGGATTCAATTTGTATGCAACTCTTCTTCCAAGCAAACTAATTCTTCGAAACAAGAGTCTGAAGATGATACTCAACGTACAAGGTATTGCTTACACCTTCATCTCGTTGCACTTTTACTCGTTACGTAGAAGGAAAAAAGACATGGCTCTATTCTTTGCGTTTATTTCTTCATTGTGCGATTGTACGTTAATTTGGCATAGCGTTCATTGGGTCAATGGGATTACACAATTCATCCATTTTCAATGTGCTATACAAACGAACTCAAGTAACAAAAGCACTTTTATCCAAATTAAAGTTTTCATTGACATTGTGCTGCATTGCTATCCAGTTCCCCTGGTGTAATTGTTCCTGAGGGTTGAGGATCCTTCATACGTTAAAAAATATCATTGTTTGGATTCGATACTTTTCTTCTTTGTGGATCAGTTCCAGATATATGTTTTCATTTCCGATTTGTAAGTTGATGTGTTTTTTGGTTGTAGTGATGAGCTTAGGGTTGTTTTGGTGGAAAGATATGGAAATGGAACTTCAAAGAGGTAATTTACATTTGCATTTCTTGAAGTATCTATGTGAAACAATCACTCTACATTGTAGATTCCAACCTAATATTCTGTTCAAATTCCTTTTGTCAGGTATATACTGGATGACAAGTTTCACCTAACAACATTTCTTGAAGATGACACCAAAACTAAAGGGTATTCTTCAAAAGAATTGCCATGGCTTCCTGATATAGTTAAAGATTTTGTTCTTCCTGCTGGCTTCCCTGGTTTGTTCCTTTTTCATTTTCACCTCATATGGTAACTCTAATGTGTTTCTTCTCTAATTCTTTTTTTTTTTTTCAAAATCAGGATCTGTTTCAGATGATTACTTGGAATACATGTTGTTACAGTTTCCAACCAATGTCACTGGATGGATTTGTCACACATTGGTCACTTCAAGTCTTCTAAAGGCATGTCAATCTAACTCAAGCCAGTACTTCTGATTGGGTATCAATCTAACTTGCTACCTTTTTTCTAATTCTTCTTTCTTTCTTTCTTTTTATTAGCAAACAAACATTTTGATTCCCTAATCTAATTTCCTCTACTTCTTATTCCCTTTGTTTTTCATTTCAGTCATCTCTTTTTATTCTTTTGTAATTATCATGATCTTTTTGTTCTATGTCATTGTCTAGTACTTAAGGCTGAATCATAGATTTTGTAAAGGATAGAATATACAATTATAGATTATAATGTTCTTTGATTATCGTTTTTTTATAAAATTTTGTGCATTTATATAATACAGGCAGTTGGTTTAGACTATTCTTCTGGAACCACAGCTGCAGCTTCTGCTGCTGCCATCAGGTGATTTTCTATATAACTCGATACTACTATAATAGTATAATTGCAAGAATTTCTTTTTAGAGTTAAAGATATGATTATATAACTTTAACATATTTACTAAAAACATGTAGATGGGTGTCAAAAGATGGGATTGGTGCCATTGGACGTTTTTTCATTGGTAGGTTTTCTTGAAAATATCATAAATGGATACAAAAACACCAAATATGTGCATTAACCATGATGGATTTGCCTTTCACAGGTGGAAGATTTGGAAATCTTTTTGATGATGATCCAAAACAATGGCGCATGTATGCAGACTTCATTGGAAGTGCTGGAAGGTGACTAATGGATTTTTTCTGTTATCCACTTAATACCAAGTTTTTTTTTTAAAAAAAAATTTTAATTTAATTTTTTTCCCCTGTGTTTTAATGTGATATGCAGCATCTTTGATCTCACTACACCTCTCTATCCTGCATATTTCCTGCCACTAGCATCTCTAGGGAATCTTGCAAAGGTATGCAAATTTACAAGATTGACCGAATAACAAAAGCATTACAAGATAAAAAAATAATATTCATTTTCTTTGTTGTGTGCTTTAAAACTTTTAGAAATTCATTTGATTGATATTTAATAACTTGAACAGGCTGTGGCAAGAGGGCTAAAGGATCCTTCACTTCGTGTGATTCAAAATCATTTTGCTATTTCAGGCAATCTAGGGGATGTGGCAGCAAAGGTAAAAGGGTATTTTCGTCACTTTAACCAAATTATTTTTACTTTTGTGAGTGACTTAAATATTTTTCAGGAAGAAGTTTGGGAAGTATCTGCACAACTCCTTGGCCTTGGTCTTGGCATATTAGTCTTGGTATGTCATTGTTTATTAGGTCTAAACAGAATAAATAAAATACCTAACAAAGGTAGTAAAAGGGTATATTGGTCATTTTGAGAGGAAGTGTGATGTAACTTTATATTAACCTTATTGCAGTCTACACCAGGTGTTGTGAAATCATATCCAGTTTTAGCATCAACATGGATGACTATTCGCCTTCTTCACCTTTGGCTTCGTTACCTCTCTCTTTCAGTTCTTCAGTTTGACTCAGTCAGATAATTTTTTTTTTATTATTATTTGTGTAATTCAGGAGGATATTCAATATTGTACTCTGAATTGGTTTTTGGTAGAATTTTTGACATTATTTATTTATTTTTTTTAGGTAAATCTAAAACGTGCCCGGATATTGGTAAACTTGCATGTTTCAAACTCCAAAGTTCTAGGTAAAATTTTTACTCATAATAGCAACGTACTTTAGTTTTTACTTATAATATAGGTATTGTAGTAAATTTTAAAATCTGGGCCAAAAGTGTAATTTAGGATGAATTCGTAACAAAATTTAAAATTTTGGCCAAAAGTGTAAAATTTGGACCAAATTTGTAATAAGTTTGAAAATCTAGGCCAAAAGTGTAATTTTTGAAAGTTGGATGACCTGTTAACCGGGGTAAAAGAGTCGAAATGAATACAATTTCTGGTTTTTGGGACTTAATTGACTAAAAATAAAAGATAAGGACTAAAAATGTATTTTGGATTTAGGATGTGAGGAATGCAACAAAATGGAGAATATCTTATCATGGGAGAAATTTTCAGTTCCACAAATTGCCTTTGGTGTGCCTTTTTCTGACATGCTTGTTGGAGAAAGATCAGGCCTCAAGGTATCACCTCATATTCTTTTCACACTTAACCTTTTAATGATGTGTCAGTTACATGCCACATGGATGCCATGTCAGCAAAACCTACGGGTTAAAGAAACGTAAACTAATTCATAATTTTTTTTGATAGGTGAAGATGCTTCTGAAACTCTATGGTAAGGAAAAATATATTCTTGTGGTGAACCAACAGCCTTTCAAGGATTTTGAGACCCTTGTCTGCTTTAAGGTATCCTACCTTTCACCACCACCACCACCATCACCACCACCACCACCGCCACCACTACCACCACCACATGTCTGATTGTGGAATTTTGGTTTCTTGTTATACTAAAAAACAACAGGAAGGAGCCACGAGCCTCTCGGTGCTTCGAAGCCTTTGGCAGACATATTGGCTGTACAAGAATCAAGAGAAGCAAAAAGATGGTTTTGATGATCTGAAAGAAAGTCTGAATGAACTTGATGATCGATTTGACAACTTTTTACAACAATTGAGAGACGTTGGATGGGACATTGATCAAATAAATTTGAAAGTTCGTAAGGATGTTTCTATCCAAGAATTGCATGTGGATTAATCGTGTTTTGAAATCAAAGCCTTTTTTTTTTTTTGAACATATGAATGGATCCACTATATACAATGTTGGATGTCAATAAGACATGTTATCAATAAGATATAGCAATTTTTTTGTTTTGTAGTTTTATGAAAATTTCCATTATGTATATATATAGTGGTCGTTAAGGGAAGAGAACCTGTTCTAACATTTTAATGAAGTATCCAATACATTCCATGTGAAGACATGTCGGCAAAATTTAACTGATTGCTTAACGCTTAAACTGGTCAGTAGATTAAAACTCTATCCGGATGAAATTCTTATATGTGAAAAAACAACTTATTATGAAGAAAAATAATATAAGATGTTTGATATTGTCTTTTACTAGGTCTAGTAAGAGGCTGAGTTTGACTTAGGCCCTGTTTGTTTACCTCTTAATTGAAAAATTAAGAGGTAACCTCTTAAAAATTCAGATATAACTTGTTTGATAGCCTCTTATTTTTTGCCTCTTAATCTTTTAAAAGCCTATTAATATTTCAGATATGGAGGGGAGTCTGAAAAGAAATAAGGGACGCTTCTTCCTTTTTTACCCTTGAATCTGCTCCTTCTACTCTTTCTCACGATTTCCCTCCCTCCCCTCTCCAACAAAACGCCGACATTATCTTCTTGCTCCTTTGCCCTAATATGCTTCCATTCTATTCCTGTGAGACCCTCGGTGAAACATCTTGTGTGAGACCCACCTCCGACATCCACCCTCTGCCATCACCAGTGACAACTTTGCAGACCTTCTCCTTTCAACTGCTGGTCGGACCTGCAACCCTCCAACATCGTTTGCGCCTCCGCCTCCGCCAGCCCCGCCGCCAACGACGCCCTCCACTTCCGTGAAATCTCATCGAGATTTCCCCTAAAAATCATGAAAAACAGCTCCTTCTAAATCGGTTTCACATACGACTCCTTCCATTTTACAGCGTAATAATCTCTCAAATTTTGATTTCTATCATTGTTTGTTTGATCATATTGAAATTGGCTCTCAGATTTCTTTATTATAACTGTTGTTGTGATCATTATTGGTGGTGTGATTTATGAATTTTGAAAATTTATGATGCACAAGAAACATGAACCTGCTACTTTAAAGTTATCTCGATTACAATTTGTATGACCAAGCAGAGAAGCTGAGATCAAAGGCACCACCACGTTTTGAAGCTCATTCAAATCAGCACTGTTGGGGTCAAGTTTTTACTGTTTATTGAATCATTAGTTCATTAGTTTTGAAGCTCAATTACAATTTTTATGTTTCCATGATTGAAAGAATATGATATTTATGTTTCTATTGATTGAAAGAAGTGAATTTGGAAGAATTTAGGTTTAATTTGGTTGTATGCTGTTATTGTTTCCATGGATTGAAATAAGTGAATTTGAAAGAGTTTATGTTTAATTTGGTTGTATGATGTTTATGTTTCTATGGATTAAAAGAAGTGATTTTGAAAGAATTTATGTTTAATTTGGTTATTTATGATCATTTGTAATTTTTATCAATTATGCATTTATAATTTAGCACAACACAATACTATAAAAGAGTAAAATGGTCATTTTTATCATTCAGATTACAATTCAGAGGTTCCAACGAAACAGGGTGTTAAAAATTAGATCTTAAAAATTCAGACCCTCTTAGAAATTCAGACCTCTTAAAAATTCAAATCTTAAAAGTTCAGATGCTGTCAAACAGCCCCTTAGTCAGATACTACTACGATACAAACTATTTGATATCACATTTAAAAGCCCCTGACTTGGTTAGATACTGAGATACAGACTATTTGATATCATATTTAAAAGCCTCTAATCTCTAATATGCCTCTTAGATTCAAGGCAACGGGTAATAGGCTGTGACCCAGTCAAACTTTGATTTAATCAAATTTGAATCAATCAACAAATATCAAACATAAACATATATATTAAACAAATGAAAAAAATTTATGTTATTTGACCATGATCTCTAAATACACACAATAGTGAATTATTTTTGGAAGGCTTATTTTTAACATAAAACATATTATTTTTCTTGAAAGTTCTAATTATTTTTACCAAGATGTTGTGGACTTGTGCAAGTGTGGATGAGATTTTTCTGGTAAGGATCAAATTTCCCTCCATCTCCTTCCTCTCTTCTTGGGAAAAGGAGCAGAGGAGCTTTGAATTTAACCACCAATGTCCGCATTTACACTCTCCCTCCCTTTTCAAACTCCCCACCAACAACAAAACCCCATCAACAAAAACCACAGCTTTCGCTCCCCTCCTAAACCCCCTTCATCAAATCAAAAACCCACATCAGATTCACCTTCATATTCCTCATGGATCGAACAACTTCGATCCCATACCCGTTCCGGCAACTTCCACGAAGCCATATCCGTCTACATCGACATGACCACCGCCGGTCTCCGCCCCAACAACTTCGCTTTCCCGGCTGTTTTAAAAGCAGTTACAGAGATTCAGGACTTCAATTTGGGTGAACAGGTTCATGGTGTTGTTGTTAAACTTGGGTACGATGCATCTTCAGTGACTGTTGCGAATACGCTCTTGAATATGTACGGGAAATGTGGGGGTTTAAATGATGTCCTCAAGGTGTTCGACAAAATTACTGAAAGAGATAAAGTGTCATGGAACACTTTTATCGCTTCGTTATGTAGGTTAGAAGAATGGGAGCTTGCTTTGGATATGTTTAGGCGAATGCAATTTGATAAAGTTGAACCCAATTCGTTTACCTTGGTCAGCATGTCGCTTGCTTGTTCAAATCTTGAAAATCGCCATGGTGTCATGCTTGGGAAGCAAGTTCATGCTTACAGTTTAAAAATTGGGGACACCATGAGTTTTACAAACAATTCTTTGATGTCTATGTACGCAAAACTAGGAAGAATTCAAGATTCAGTTTCGCTATTTGAGATGTTTCCTGGAAAAAATATAATTTCTTGGAACACCATGATAAGCTCACTCTCACAACAAGATCTATTTCAGGAAGCCATGGCTGTCTTCAAGCTCATGATTCTTGAAGAAATGAAGCCCGATGGAGTCACAATTTCAAGTGTTCTTCCTGCTTGTTCTCATTTGGAGTTATTACATCATGGGAAACAAATTCATGCTTATGCAATAAGAAACAATAATTTGATTGAAAACTCATACGTTTCTAGTGCTTTAATCGACATGTACTGCAATTGCAGAGAAATTACAATCGCCCGTAAAGTTTTCGATCGTCTCGTAAACCGGAGCCTTGCAAATTGGAACGCGATGCTTGCGGGTTACACACAAAACGGATTTTACGATTCTGCCCTTGTTCTTTTCTTCAAAATGATGGAATTTTCTGGGCTTTCTGCTAACCCTACAACAATGGCGAGTGTAATTCCTGCTTCTGTCCACTGTGAATCTTTTCATGACAAAGAAGGCATGCATGGATTCATCGTGAAAATGGGGTTTTCAAAAGACGGGTATGTGCAAAACGCGCTAATCGACTTGTATTCCCGAATTGGGAAAATCAACATTTCAAGAAACATTTTTGATAGATTGGAGATTAAAGATACGGTTTCTTGGAATACAATGATTACAGGGTATGTGGTTTGTGGATTTCATGAACACGCGTTAGATTTGCTGCATAAAATGAATCAAAGAGATGAAACCCACGATCAAAACCTTGAAAAGGTAACATGTAAGCCTAATTCAATAACCCTAATGACTGTTCTTCCAGGTTGTGCAGCCTTGGCTGCCTTAGCAAAAGGTAAAGAAATCCATTCTTACGCTATTAGAAATCTTTTGGCCACGGATGTGGCAGTTGGAAGTGCCCTAACTGATATGTATGCAAAATGTGGGTGTTTAAACTTCGCCCGAAAGGTGTTCGATGAAATGCCTGTGAGAAACGTGATCACATGGAATGTAATGTTCATGGCATATGGTATGCACGGGAAAGGAGATGTCGCCATGTCACTTTTCAACCGCATGGTGGCTGAAATCAACCCTAACGAGGTTAGCTTCATTTCACTATTCGCAGCATGTAGCCATTCGGGCATGGTGGATGAAGGTCTAGAATTGTTCCATAAAATGAAAGACAAATACGGGGTTGACCCAACCGAAGATCATTACGGGTGTGTGGTTGACTTGCTAGGTCGAGCCGGGCGGCTAGCCGAAGCACACGAGCTGATAACCAAAATGCCACCACGGTTCAAGAAACTTGGTGCGTGGAGTAGCCTACTTGGTGCTTGTTGGATTCACCAAAATGTGGACCTAGGCGAGATCGCGGCTCGAAATCTACTGGAATTCGAGTCGGATGTTGCCAGCCACTACGTGTTACTATCAAATATCTACTCAGCCGCAGGGTTTTGGAAAAAAGCAACCGAAGTGCGAAAAACAATGATTAAAAATGGGGTTAAGAAAGAACCGGGGTGCAGTTGGATTGAGTTTGATGATGAAGTGCATAAATTTATGGCCGGGGATTTTTCACACCCGCAAAGTGAGAAAATTCATGGTTTTCTTGAAAAGTTATTGGAGAGATTGAAACAAGAAGGGTATGTGCCCGATACATCGTGTGTTCTTCATGATGTGAATGAAGATGAAAAGGAGAGTTTGCTTTGTGGACATAGTGAGAGGTTGGCTATAGCATTTGGGTTGATTAATATGCCACCGGGTGTCACGATTCGAGTTGCGAAAAATCTTAGGGTTTGTAATGATTGCCATTCAGCGATTAAGTTTATTTCGAAGGTTGTTGGGAGGGAGATTGTTGTAAGGGATGTTCGAAGGTTTCATTGTTTTAAAGATGGGAATTGTTCGTGTGGTGATTATTGGTGAGATTTATTAGGGCAAGTTGTAAGGAAATAGCAATGCATTTTACTTTATTTTTTATGGGTAATTTATTTTATATTTTATCCACAATAACATTGTTCGTACATTTCTTTTATGAGAAATTAAATCGTATCTTACTTTTTATGCCTACAAATACTCATACCCACTAACATTATGACAGGTGTCATCATTCAACCATTCAATTAAATTTGATTTGATATATATTCTTAATATACTTTTAATGAGATAGTTAAAAAAATATGGAATGGTGACACTTATAATAATATTAATGGGGAGGAGTATATGTCCGACATAAAAGGTAGGAAACAATTTAATTTCTCTTTTTTTATCTTTAATTACGACGTATTTATAACCAAATTTAGGTATTTATTAAATAGTTTGACTTTAAAGTCTAAACTTGGGTGTGCACATGGACTCAAATTTCTTTCCTAATGGGCTGATGAGTCATTAGTTGGACTGATGTAATAAATCTTGCCCCATTTTAATGCAATATAATACTCCCTCCGTCCCAAAATTTTTGTCCACCGACAAAAAACACACAGATTAATAAATCATTAATTACAACTAACTTTATACAATAAAATGATAGTTTTGTCATTACTTTGCATTTATGTTCTATTAAATGTTTAGTTGGTTAAGTAATAAGAAGAGGGTATTTTGATAATAATATTATTTATTTTTAGAAGTGGACTATTATTTTGGGACAAACCAAAAAGGAAAGATGAATTATAATTTTGGGACGAAGGGAGTATATATTAGTAATGTTTACCTACTATGCTAGCCTACGCGCCTACCATTTTTTCATATGGATAGTCCAATGTTTAAGTAAGGGGATATTTAGACAAAACTGCACAAATGGTCCCTATGGTATGTCGAAAAATGCCACTTTGGTCCAAAAAGGTTTGGACTAGCGCCGGTGGTCCAAAACTTTCATTTTGTTGCGTCTTTGGTCCAATCTGTTCTGATTATTTTCAAAATGACGGATCTACCCCTGCTAATATAATTTTCTCTTTTTTCTTATTTGTTTCTCTGATTTTCTGATTAAAAAAACAAAAAAAATAAAAAATAAAAATAAATCTGTCTCTCTAAAACAAAAAAATAAAAATAAAAATCTCTCTCTCTCTCTCTCTCTCTCTCCATTGGAAACGACAGATGTGCTCGTCTTCATCTGCTTCGACTATCTAAATCACCACCGTCCACCACTTCCTTCTTTAACCACCACCTACAGCTACCATCACTACCTCTCACCACCACCACCACCACCACCGGATGCCACCTCCATAAAAGAATCAGAAATCGGAAATCGTTTTTGTTTCTTGTTTCAACTTCCTGCAAAAGAAAAAGTTGATTCGATCTAAATCATCAAATATTTTAGCATTCATAACCAAAATCTGATTCAAATCTAAAAATCACCAATCTATCTATATGAATGTTCATTGATTTTGAAGTATATAAAAATTCAAAATCAGATGAAGGAACTAGGTATTTTGGGGGTCTATTTGTTTGGGTAATCTGGTAGCAAAGAAGAGAGATCAATCGAGACCCACCTGCAAATCTATCTTCAAATAAATCGAGTAAATCGAGACCCACCACCCTACAATTTAAGTTGTTAATGTTAATAACAAGCTAACTAGCATAGAGGTGGGAGGAGTTGCATGGGTTACAGATTACCGATGGCAACAAAATCCTAGCTATTTAGATGACAACGACTTCATATCGATTAGGGTTTTATGTAGGTGACGACGACTTTGAAATAAGAGGTTGGTGGTGGCGGAGACGATGAGGCTGAAGACGAAAACCCTAATCGAAGCTTGATCTACACTGGTGGTCTCTCCCCTTCCGGTTGTTAGTGCTAGATCGTCTCCTTCGACGGCGGTGCTAGATCGACTCAACTGACGGCTATACTAGATCGTCTCCTCCGACGAAGGAAGCTAGCGCATAGAGGTGGAGAGTTTGATGCCTCCGATCTGTGAAAGGGATGTCCAGCGAGAAGGGACGACGCTCCAGATCTTCAAAAACCATGTTTAGGTCTGGTTGCAGATTTTCTAAGCGTGAGAGAGGGGAGATTTTTTATATTTATTTTCTTGTTTTTAGAGAGAGAGAGATTTATTTTGATTTTTATTATTTTGATTTTTTTTAAATCAGAAAAAAAAATAAGAAAAAAAAATCATATTAACAGGGGTAGATCCGTCATTTTGAAAATAATCAGAAAAGATTGGACCAAAAATGCAACAAAATGAAAGTTTTGGACTACTGGTGCTAGTCCTAACATTTTTGGACCAAAGTGGCATTTTTCGACATACCACAGGGACCATTTGTGCAGTTTTGTCGGATATTTAACTAGAAGGAAAAATCATATTTCTGTAAATATTATAAAGAAAAGGTTAATATTATAAAAATATTATATTTTAGATTTTTTTATTTTAGTCTAGTATATTTTTTTCTCTTCCAAAAAGCCTTCATATATTTCTATTTTTCTATACTAACCCTTTCAACAGGTTTATAAGTAATTTTTTGGTAAGTAACTATACGTTTTCGTAAAAAACCTAATTATTTCCCCCAATAAACTCTCCAATTTCAAAAAAAATAAAATTTGTTATGTTTCATAATTCTCATGCTCTTGTTGTTGTTTATAGTGTTCTTGATTGTGGAAGATATATGTTCGATTGTATGTGTGTGCTTGCTAACTTGGAAACTAAAGGTTATGTGTTGAAGTTAACTTAGATGAAATTGTACAACAAATGGTTTTGTATTAGTGCCTGTTAAGTTGGATCAATCATATAAAAAATGATTCTCGTCTGCTAATTTGCGATATAAGGTTCCACATCTGCTAATTTTGCCAATTCAGATATCAAAGATTCTAAGTTTGCTAATAGCATGTTTTGCATCTAATAATATGAAAATAAATTACAAAGTGATTACGTCTAAACTGTTGTGTATTATTGATATGACTATTGATGGAAAAAGTTCAGTTTCAAATGAATCTAATAAGATTAATATGGATCAAAATCACATGGAAAATGTATCCTATCTGTCCCAAAACTCTCACATATTCTTGGTTAACTCTACACCCAAACCCGAGACTTCTTTCCTGTACTCCATCCCTCTACCAAAGACCACCATACCTTACTTGAATGATATCCCAACCTCTTTTAGTCTTTTGTGAAACATACTCCACCTTTTGCTTCTACTGAGTCTTATTTCTTAGACCTTTGGCTAAACCCTCCTATACCCAAACCAAAACTCAGGTCCACATATACTAAACCACTTAACCATCCACCTCACCTTAATTGAAGCTTTTATTCATTTTCTGTGACCGAACCTAAACAAGACTAAACCTTACCTACTCTTTATAATTTTTTTTTGTAAGTCGTTAACCCTTTTTGAATACTTGTTTTTTAAACACCCATTTATTCCAACCTCACATATCATAAGATACCTTATTGAGGGAAACCAAGCCACTCCGTTTTTATTTCTTGAAGCAAGAGTTCATTCATGTTTCCATTTGAAGAGCTTCAACCGATTAACTTCATCTCTGGATATTACAAGGCATCAGATCTAAAGTATATAAGCAATGATATCAAATATATGGGTTGATTATGTTAGTTGCTTCCAAGTTCAGGTTACACACTGATCAAATACATTTTTCTTTTCAATGTCGTGGATTAAACATAGTTATGCAGATTCTTGACGACAGTGATGTCAATTTTTTTTTAGTTTTCTTAGTAGTATGTCTCCTAATACAATATAATTTTTTTTGTCATTAATCATATTAAAAAAAGTGGTATTAATCGATTTCTAAGGGAAAATCGTTCTGGTGGCAATGAGTCTTCCAGTGCTGGAAGTAATCAAATTTGTAATTTATTACCTATAACATTGAATCATGTTGTTTCTTACAATGAGCCCATATATGTGGGCTATTTTGGGTATAGAGGTAAGGCTTTTGCTGGTGTTGTACCAACATTTGATGTTGATGAATATGAAAATGATCAGGCAAATCTGATGTTGAACAACTCAAAAGTTTCATTGAATCTACTAGGGATGAGATTAAATTAGAAGAGAAGGAAACTGAGTTTCAACAAGCCCGAAAACCCCGACCGGAATAATAACCTTTTTATTTTTCAGATTCTTAAGAAATACAAACCACTCATGGGGGGATGTTTGAACCTTTACCATTGCCCGAATTATCAGAACAAATACGTAAAGGTGTTGCAGCCCCAAATTATTTTTATTGTGTGAAACTTTATCAACTCTTCCAATGTAAAGAAGACCTTAAGATTAAATTGAGATTCAAATGTATTATTGAGGCTTTCAAATAAGAGTGAACAAATCTATAAAAGAAAAGTATAAAGCTATTTTCCTTGTGAAAAATGATGAATGACGTATAAGGGCTACAAAAGATAAAGACGCTAATTATTGAGAGGGACCCAAAAGAAAATGTATGCTCTAAATCACACTGGTAAGCATGGAGTGCAAAAATGTATGTTCTAAATTTGTTGAGACGGACCCATGAAGAAAGCTTTCAAACTCTTCCTTTATATTGTAACAATTTAGAGAGGAAGAATCCAGGGACCGTTACACAAATAAAGATAGATAACGACAATACATTTGCATGGCTATCAGTTGGGTGGTAATATTTCTTATATAATGCCTAATTTCAATACATTTCTACTCATTATACTTGTATTCCATTTAAAGACTAATCTATTGTGTATATTCGATCCTTTAAAACATGTATGCGACCTATGATTATCATTGACGAAGCACACCTTAAAGGGAAATACTTGAGCATGATGTTTCTAGCAGTGGACATGGACGGTAATAACCAAATCCTCCTAATAGCATTTGGTATTAAAAATATAGAAAAAGGGGAATCATGGATGTGGTTTTTATAAAGAATGAAAGAATGTATTGATGACATGTTTGGCTATCTTATCTGATAGAGAAAATTCCATTGATATGGCCATTCCATATGTCCTTCCAAA